GATGGGTCTATGGTCATACCACCCTGAACATGCCCAATCTCGTCTGAAATGGGGCTAGATTAATACCCTGACTAGAGAGCTCAAGTTCAAGTCTGCCTTTCTGTGTCCTACCCTTTGTACTCTTGACTTTTCTTAATTAGATTCTCATGACACTTGGAGAAGTAGGAGAGGAAATACTGTATGGGTAAACAAACATTTTTGAGTATTTCTTAAAAATTTTTTCACGCTGGAACTTGGCATAGGTTTTGTATAAGAATCATAGGTGAAGAAAATTTCCATTTATCACTTTAAACTGTTTTTGTAAAAAAGAGTTATGAAATCAGCTAGTCTTAGTTTTTGTGATTACTCATCACCCCTTCTCCCAAGGAAACAGCGAGTACTCCAAAATTTCCATTGTTTATAGACAAAGCTTATTCTAGGTGTGGGAACAGATTGCTTATCTTTATCAGAGTACATCTATATTTAAGAGTGGTATGGGAATTTTAGCAAAAATTGAACATCTGGGCCTGATTTTATTAGTATTTGAAATGCAGCTGTTTAGTATTAAGCATTAATCCTCAAATCAAATCTGATAAAGCATCAAAAATATCTGATGGTATTCAGTTACAAATTAATATATAACTATATACCCGGGGACCCTTAATGAAACCTGTCACATTCACAATTTGCTATTGCTTGGTAAATTTCCTCTACTAACTAGGAGCTTGATGCAGTGAAAAATGATCTCCTGAAGGTAAACAGGTGTTTGCATTTATGATGTTAAAAATCTCAAGAAAAATCTAATTTTTATTCTTTCACCATTCTGCTTTTCTCTTTTTTCATAGGAATTTGCTTTGTGAAGCAAAACAGATTTGTCCAGTATATAGACACTATGGGAAATAGGGAGATGTTGATCAAAGGGTATAAACTTTTATTTACAAGTTGAATAAGTTCTGGAGACCTAATGGGTAGCATGAGTGTTCCTAGATGTGTTAATTAATTTGATTGTGATAATCATTACACAATGTATATGTAAATCAAGTCATCACCTTGGACACCTTGAATATGTATCATCTTTGTTAATTACATATTTTTAAATAAAAAAGACTTTGATTTTATGTGGAGTGAAATGGGAAGTCATTTCTTAAGGATTTTGAGCAGAAGAACATGATCCAGTTTACACTTCAGCAAGACCATTCTGGCTCCTGGGTCCAAGTCAAAGATGTTGTGGTCAGGACCTCAGTGGCAGTGAAGAAGGTGGCGAGAGGTGGTGAGATGGAAGATATATCTTGAAGGAACAGCCACAGGATTTCAGGGTGGATACAAGGCAGAGTGTGAGAGAGAGGGGGTCGAAGATGACTTCCAACTAGATGGATGGAGTTGACCATCAATTAAGACGAGGAAGGGCAGGGCTTTTTGTTGATTCTTTCTGGGTGGAGGGTGGGTAGAATGATAATGTGTCCAGTTTGATGGTTAGAGAGACAAAGGCAGAGGATCATAGGTTTTGCCATCCCTGCATCCTCACAATGGCACCCTTAGATATTGCAGGTCTCTCACATTTATAGACACCTGCATACAGAACCAGGAGGCAGTACTTTCCCCTGGAGAGTTACCAGGTCTGTCTTGGGCTGTTGGTAAGCAGAGACCTTGAGGACTAACCCTCGGATTCCTAGAAGGGAGCATCTGGTGGTGTAAGCCCTCAGGGATGGAGCTTCCTTGCTGGTCTCTCCCTTTGTCTTTCTCTTTTTGTCTTGTGTCACTTATTGCTGTCATTACCTGTAGATTCCAACCAGAGTCTTTTGGTTTTCCTCCTCTAACCGCGGATGAACCAGACCCACAGCGTCTCTCTTCCTCTCTTGTTCCCTGAGTAAAACATCCCCTTTAGTAATAATGGAAAATATGCAAGTATTACATTTAGTTCTCCCCGTCACATTTGTTTCGTTATCTATTTTGATCTGTTCAGTGAGAACTTTGTCTTTCTTGGGTTGTACTGTGGTGTTTTTACATATGGTAAGTCAGAATGTATCTACATTTTGTAAAAATGTATTTCTTACAGAGTCTGATATTTCTCCTTGGCCTGGAGTTGGAGACAGGGTTTAAGGTAAAAGGTGACCTCAGTGGTGAGGGAGAAAGAATGGCCCATTGCTACCTTCTCCCTTCCGTCTTCCTTTTCAGGCTCTTCCACTATCTGCCTGTTACCACCAGTCCTGCCTTCATGACCCTCCCTTATGCCAGGTGAGGTGCAGGTGCCTACTTGTGCAAGGGGGTATTGTCCATTAATGGAGAAGGAAGAGCGTTTCTGAATTCTGCGACTCTCAGCAGGCATTGGAAATAGCCCCTGAAGGTTGGAGTCTAGGTGATAGCAGGATCAGATCTGCATTCCTGGTGTCTGTAGAAGAAAAAGAGAAACCAGAGACTAAAGAAGTCAGTTAGAAGATGTTTAAAATAACTTATTCAGAGCCAGTCACAGTGACTGTCATTAAAGCATGTTGGGAAACAAGGGCTAGAGGATTGCCTGAGTCTAGGGGTTCAAAACCAACCTGGGCAACTTGGCAAGACTTTGTCTCTACAATAAATGAATGAATGAATATAAATAAGTAAATAAATAAACAAGCTGTGCATGATGGTGCATGCCTGTAGTTCCAGCTACTTGGAAGGGTGAGGCGAAAGGATTGCCTAAGCCCAGTAGGTTGATGCTACAGTAGTCATGAGTATGCCACTGCACTCCAGCTTGGGCAACAGTGAGACTGCAACTCAAATGATGATGATGATGATGATAATAATAATAATAATAATAATAATAATAATTGGTTCAAACACGGTTGAGGGCCTAGATCATCAGAGAGGCTTGGTGGGGAGGGAAAGGAAGTGAGAGGATCTGGTGACCGACCAGGGAGGGAGTGGCCATGGGGTGACTAGGACTCATGTGTCCTGACAGGTGCTGGGAGAGACAATGTGGGCAGGAGACAAGAGGAGCTCAGTGTGAGTTGGGTTGAGTTAGCTTGTAAGATCCCCATGTAGTTGAAAAGAAAGTTCCTGGAATTATCACCTAGAGCCACTTAGAAGGCAAATGGAGAAACAAGGTAAGCTCAAGGGAGATTCAGAAACTGGAGGAAGACTTAGGAGTCCTGAGTGTAAATCCTGGTGACAGGTGACAAAAGTGGGCTGTGGGCTTTGGGACAGTTCTCGTAAGATTATCACTCTGTCTCGTGCACATTTTTCTTTAAGAAACATTTTTGCCAAGGTGTGTTTTGTACTGAAAGACTGGTGAAAAAGTTTTGTTTCTGGACAGAGACTAAATTATATGTCAGCATCAGCTCAACTATTACTCATGAAATAGCCATTATCAGTCCTAGGCATGAGCTTCCCTCAGAATTCTGAATTCTTTCACCAGCTTATTGGAAACTGATTCATGACCGAATCTGTGCTGGTGCAAAATGCCTCATGCCTGTTAACTAACACTTAGGGATCTGTTGGGGGTCTGAGAAGCATGCAAAGGCACAACTAGCCCACGAGTCACTCCAGAGACAGATGAAGCAGCAGAAGCCCTTGTTTGATGTTCTCGTCACTCGTGTCTTTGGCCCTGAATTTCCTATCAGATCTGCTCGATCATCTCAGCTTAACCATTTCAACTTGGTTTGGTGGCTTAGGTTATAAAGGGTTTCAATATAACTCTTCTCAATATAACTTAATTTATACAGAAAACTTTTGAGTAGAGAATTTGAACAATACGGCTGGTTGTTTGAAATACTCATTATCCAGGTCACTTCTTTTTTAATATCCCAAGTTATGATGCTCTGTTCCTGCTTGGGTTTATGGACAGATTGTTAGCAAGCACCTCAAAAACTCTTCTGTATGAGCACTTGAGTTATGTGACAACAGTGTCCCTGCTCCATACCCGTGCCTTGCAGTTCTTATGAAGGCAGTGGTTTGTAATCCATTGCTGTGATTTAAAGGGTGTACTTTCTTCCTGAAAAGAGTTTAATAACATTTACAGAAACAAGAAGTAAATGCTAGAATTGATCCAACTAGCTTTTTTCTTCTTAAAGAGCTGCTTCCCTTCTTAAAGAGCTGCTTTCCTGTTCTCCCATGAGCTGGGAGAAGCAGGCCTCTGCCCCGCCAGGCGAGCACGCCAGCTGGCCCACCATGGTTCCCAGGATTGAAATCAATCACTGACCTGTGATTCTGCAGGGCAATTACCTGGAATCCCTCCACATACACAGAGTGCATTGAAAGAGATTGCTTGTGGAAATAGATCTGGGAGACAATTTTATATATTCATTTGGCATCAGTAGAGTTTTTTTCTTTGACCAAACCAAAAAAAAAGTAATTTATAAGATTATTTATAAAAAGTAGATAATTTTATGTGTTAGAATAGACATTTGTGTGGTGAATTTTTTTGTTAATTAATTAAGTTAGAAAGATGATTTTTTTTTTCTAAACGAGCAGGTTTTATATTGTTGCATGTCTCATGAATAATTTTCTTGGCTTCTTAATTGGGTTTTGGTCTCCTGAGAAAGCAAAGTTCTTTTTTTTAAATTCTTCATGATTCCCATCATGGTAGTAGGCCTATAATGCATCACTTTTGTAGTTAATTGAATTTGACTGAAACCCAATTGTAATAGAAAATTCACATTTCATATTTTCAAAATTGGAATTTCATTTAGATTTAGACTTAGAGAGCATTTCAGTACTTAGCCACATTGTATTTGCACCTATTTTTGTGAGTGCCCATATATGTAAATCTGGTATGTCAGGGTTGTTCTGTTCTATCACTTGGAGAACAATACTGAATCCTCAGAATTCAATGGGTACATTGTGAAGAGGTTCTTACTAATTGATTTCAAGGGAACAGTTGGCCTCAACAGGATTGTGCTCCTGTGGCATTACTGACACAACGCTATTTGCATGAGTACTTTCACTGATATAATAATGCCAGTATTTGCCCTTTGTTCCCCCTAACCTGTTAAATAGATCTGAGCAACCAAGGCTGAAGAGAAATTTTTGTTTGTTTTTCAAAGGTCTCATCAGAAAATGGAAGACTCTGAAGAAACCAGTGATGAAATTCTTGCTCGTCTGACATCTGCGGTAAGTCCATGCAATTTCCCTGCCTACACGTGCAGAATGAGGCTGGGATTTTGGAAGGAAGCCATTTGGGTATTGGGTGTAGAGAGAGAGTCACCTTGTGGCTGCTCATCACTGTGGGACATCCAAGTCTATACAAGGCAGAGGGAGCGAATGGCTTTGACTTTCCCTACATTGATGCAACCTCCCTTGCGAGATCATACATATTGTTACTGGAAAGTTCTTGCAACCTCTGTGGAGGCGTAGTATCTGATTTTTTAATAACATATGACTTAACCTAGGAAAAGTTGTGTCCTGCTGCATAAAGGATAAAAGACTTTCTGTTTCATTAGGAAAAAAAAAATCACCCTAACCAAAAGAGGCCAGGATGTTGGTTTCTAATATTGCGACATTTCCATTGTGTTTTTTTTAAAGCCATTGAATAGACTTGGTTGGTAATAATAGCCTTGTAGGTTGGAGGAAATCTCATGCCTTTCTTCTTGCTGAAAATCATACTGGATTGGGTTATGTGTATGGAAATAGATCTGAAAGAAATAGAACTAGAAAATAGCTTAGAAAAGTAATTTTTAATTAAATATGGTGATCAGTGGTGTAAAACTTCATGTGAAAGGGAATCTTGACAGTATGTTATTAGAATAATTAGCGTGACATTTGCAATTTAAAGTGTTGACCAAAGAGGAGTGCCTGTTGTGTGCAAAATCATATCAGACACCTGTTAAAAAAAACATACTGTGGGCCAGACACTGTGTTAAATGTTGTGTGCTTGTACATACATACACATATTCTGCTAAACTGTATAATAGCACTGTGAAGAAAGTGACATTATCTCTATTTTATAGATTTTAAAGCTTGTAGAAATTAAGTAACTTGCCTAACGTCATCCAGCTGAAAAGGAACAAAGTCAGAATCTGTACTCAGAATTTTCTACCTCAGATGTTCTCTTAACTGCTATGCCTCATTTTTTTCATTATGTGATATTTAGTGATTGAGATAATTTCAGAAGTAATAATGATATGTGTGATTTGGTTCCTATAGCCATACCAAGAAGATAAGACAGATATATTTAGAAAGTTAATATATAAAGTAGTTGGAAATTGAGCACCAAAAAAAGTGGAATATAAGTAGTAAATTTAAGAACAATAACAGAAAACTTTGTTGAGGAGACTGGACTTGAACCACCATCAAGGAAGTCAGGGTTTAGACAGGTGATGATTAGGAGGATTGTTTTCTAGCTGTGGGATTTATTGTGGGCAGGCATAGGGATGAAAAAGTACAATAGAAAAATGTGAGTAGACCTATCTGGTTAGAGAAGAAGGTCCTAGTTGAGAAAAGTGAAAGCTTTTTTTTTTTTTTGAGTTGGAGTCTCACTCTGTTGCCCAGACTGGAGTGCAGTGGCCGCTCCTGGCCACTGCAGCCTCACCTGCTGGGTTCCGGCGATCCTTCTGCCTCAGCCTTCCAAGTAGCCGGAATTACAGACATGCGCTACCACGCCCAGCTGAAGACCTCATCATGTAGAGATGAGGTCTTGCTACCCAGGCGGGTCTCGAACCCGCGGGCTCAGTCAATCCACTCACCTCAGCCTCCCAAAGGCGCGGGATTACAGGCTGAGCCACCGAGCCCGGCTAGCTTTTTTTTTAAACAACAGATTAATGCAATGAAGTAAATGTTTAAGAAAGAAGAAGATGAATTGGAGTAGGGAGACTTGTTGGAGGCTGATGAAAACCTAGTTCATGATGTTTTTTGTGAGAACCAAAAGAAAGATGAGTTCAAAAAGGAGCAAAAAAAATTTTTTTTAAATCAATAGGATTGGATAAAGGTAGAGGAGGAGTCAGATGACTAAAGCTTGAACTTGAATGAACAGTGACCTGATGATACTCTCAGGAAGTTGAGTAAATTGTGTGGTAAGAGAGGTTATTTATTGGGGACGTGTTGAGTTTGAGGAGATAAGAACATAAAAATGTCCAGGAAACACCTGGAGACATGAGTCTGGAGCTTGAAGAGGCCAGAGACAAAGTTATGGGAACCAGCTACGGAGAGGTTGCAGATGGAGGAGTGGTGTAGAAGATGGTATCTTGGGAACACCCACAGTAAGAAGGCAGTAGGGACTGAAAGGGATTGCTTGTGGAAATAGATCTGGGAGACAATTTTATATATTCATTTGGCACTAGTCAAATGAGAGGACAGTGAGAGGAAGTGGAAATAACTGAATGGTTTTTACCATGAAGATCAAATTCATGAGAGCCTCCAAAAGGAAGAGAAGTACAGCAAAGTGTTCACTATGGATTTAGTTCAGGTAATCTTACAGGAAAAATCCCCAAGGTAAAAGTCTGAAGAAAGTGAGTTGCTGGAGTGGTATTTAGAATGAAAATAAAGGGCACAGGAGAAAATATCTTTTTTTTAATTGATGTGTCATTAGTCTGTGATTGTGAAAATATCTCTGTACTGAGATTAAGAATCCCGATTTTTATTTCTTCCAACAATGGGACCTTTGCCAAGCTAAGTGGTTGGACTAGACAATGTCAAATTTCCTTCAAGTACTAAAATTCCATCATTCCTAGTGTAAGCATGTGTTAATGGAGTCCTGGGCTAGGTCCACATCATGTGGTTGTTCCTATGGGCAGTAGCATATAAACTTTACATTACCCAGTTGTTAATTCATGCAGGAAGGAAGACATTTACACATATCACTCAGGTAACAGTTCTCAAACCATGCCCCCAAACATGGTAAAGGAAACCAGAGGTGACGTCTATAGTTGCCAGCATGCTCTTTGCAAATTTGGAGGTACTGGAAAGGGGGCAGTGGGTTCTAGCAGTACAGTTAACTGTGCCCTTTTGTATATTCACCTTTTTATTATTTACATATTTAATTTTTTTTGTAGAGATGAGGTCTTGCTATGTTGCCTGAGCTGGTCTCGCACTTGTGCGCTCAAACAATCCTCTCACCTCAGCCTCTCAAAGTGCTAGGATTACAGGTGTGAGCCACCACACCTGGCTATATTCACCTTTTAAAATTCAAACTTGAGGGCTTTGTGTATAGCGTCTTAAAAAAATTATTCATTTCTTTAACCCAAATCGTTTATTTCCTAGTCTCCTTTTAGGTTCATTGGGGGGAAAGGTCCTGTCATCTAAAAAAAAAAAATACCTGAAATTCTACTCTGTAAGAAAATACAAGTGAGTTTTCATCATGAAGAAACATGAGAGGACAGTGAATGTATAGAAAAAATGTCTTCATAATTCAGTCAGATTTAGGATTGTTAAATTTACATAAGCGTGAATGATTAAAATGTTCCAGTCATATTTCTAGTGATTTTCAGGAAAGAGTCACCCTTCCAAGTGCCAGACATATAAAAGCCTAAACAATGAAACTCTGTAAGAAGTTTTCAGCTTAAGGAAATGTAGCATAGCTATAATGGACTGTTTTCTTTACATAAAGCCTACAAAAATGCCCTGGGGACTATTATTTAGAAACAGTTTGATTTTTCCAGTTGTATATACGGTTTCTACCTTTGCACCTTAGCCTCCTCTCTGATATCTTCTGATGCTGCAAATTTTGTTAACTTAAAAACCTCTTTTTCATTGGCTGTGAGTCTCTGTTGCTCTGATAAAGCTGGTAGGCTAAGAAGGACCTTGAATGACACGGCTTATCAGTTTCCATCCTTGAAGTTCTTGAAGTTCTGTTTTGTTTTTAAGCATGAATTCTTCTACTGTTTGTGACAAATAATCAGAATGACGAGACAACTTCTATATTCATATCACAATCTAGGGGTCTGCTTGCTCAGAACTAAAGTAAATATAGGAAAAATTTTATGGTGAGTTATGTCTTACTTTCAAAACCATAGTTTTTAAGGATGTAAATTTAGGAAATAGTCTAACCTTTGAGGCACCAAAAATAATTGAGATGTATTCGGGAATGTCCAAAGACAGGAAACAGAAACATGAACATTCTTAAATAGGTAGTTAAAACTGATTCTAGACTTCCATCTCATGTATACTTAAAATTAACAATTAGAACAAACCTAATAGGTTATCTCTATTTCTTAAGGTTCAGTTTTCATGATGGAAATTGTAGAGATAAGAAGACACATACCTCTCATCTGGACTGAATGAAGTTTGTGATTTTTGTTCACGGTTTAATTGTCAAAGTCCTGAGGTGATGTGAGTTAGACCAAGTCGTGCATTGTATATATTAGAGGTCAACCATTTGGTTGTATGGTTATGTATGTGAGAGCCACTTATAAAGAGACAGGGTCATGTGGTGTGTCCTCTGTGCTGTTAGGTTCAGCAAAGTCAGCTATTACTAGGATGGCAAAAAGAAGAGAGTTTGAGTGTCTGGAATAAAACACTGATCTGGTGGTTTGAGTGTCTGGAATAAAACACTGATCTTAAGATATGACTATATCTTAAGAGATGTATTAAAATTACAAATTGGGTGTTCAAAACAGGAAGAGAGATCCGTGGAGATGAGAATAACATCTAATACCCTTGGACTGTGTGACTAGGCACACTTACACCTTGGTATTCATTGTCAGAGCTGCTTCAGTGTATAATTTTGTAGATTTTTCTCTCTGTATGATTCTGTTGTATCTTCTAGTTCATTTTCTTCGGTTCATCCACTTCACTGTAAAACCTCTACCTTTGATGCTTTTAGTGGTATTTTCTGAATTCCTTTTCATAACACCTTCAGGTATAAGTCATCACTTCTCTGAGAAAATACCACTGAGCTATAATCTTAACTGCCAGTCAAAATCTTTCACCTATAGCTTTAGTCATTCTCTTGAAGGCATGGCTTTCACAGGACTCTGTTTACAGCCTTTCTTGATCCAGGAAGGATGTGAAGTGGCTAGGACTCCTGTGGCTCATCCTTCTTGGTGACTCTACACTTTGAATTTGATACATTGGAGAAATTCCCTTTTGAATAGTAGTGTCTAGATAACATTGACAGCTTTTTTGATTGGAGACTTTAAAATTGGTAGTGGTTGAGGAAGCAGAAACAGCATGGAACT